CACATTTAGTAACCTTTTCTAAGCTTCCTTAACAGAACTGTTTGATCAGGGTTGATGTGGAGTGAATACATGCCACATGACATTTTGATTTTAAAAGTATCATTGTGCAATATTAACAAATGCATTAAGAAATGGCTACCTGGCAGATCTCAAAAATAGTTATCACTGAGGAATTATCATCATCAAAATTGGGATGGTTCCAGTGAGGTTCTTCAGTTATTGGTACTAGGCCTGACACAATTCAACATGTTCATCAATGATTTATAACTAAGTTCAGTATAACTGCTGATAACATTTTCAGATTATTCAAATATTAGGAGAGTGGTAAATAATGATGAGTCTAGGACACACCGTGATCTGATTCACTTGGTGTGTTAAAAAAACCCACCTTAATACTTTTAGTTTAATACAACCAAACGCAGAGTTATATACCTTGGAATAAAGACTGTAGGCCATACCAACTGAATGAGGATTTGTATACTAGGAAACAGTGACTCTGGAAAGGATTTAAGTGTCAGATAATATATTGAATATATATGAGTTCCCAGTGTGATTGGGAGAGGGGAAGAGCTTTTGGAATCCTGGAATATACAAAGAAATGGAAGCAGTGAGGACACAAAGGGAGGTGCTGGGAATTTACATCTGTGTACAGTACTGGTGAGACTAATACTGGAATAATGTGTATGTTCTTTACACATATTTCAAAAGAACATTGACAAACTGTAGTACTGCAGAAAAGTGCTAGAGAAATTATTTGAGGGGTGGAGAAAATGCCTTTCACTGACAGATTTAAAGAACTTAATCTGTTTACTTTATCAGAAAGGTGACTTGATTACCGTGTATAAGTACTTTCATGGAGAGAAAATATGAAGTACTAAATTGCTCTTTAATTTAGCACAGAAAGACCTAACAAGAACCAATTGGCTGAATGTTGAAGCAAGACAAAGTAAAATTACAAACTAGGCACATATTTTGAACAGCAAGGTAATTTACCCTTGGAACAAACTATCAAAAGCACTGGTGGATTTCCCATCTCTTGTAGGTTTCAACCCATAGCTTGGTTCCAGGTTTTGAACCTTGCACCTAACTCCCATTGATTTAATAGGCATAAGTGTAAGCTCAGACTAGATGATCTAGTGGTCCTTTATGGCTTTCTATTTTGTAAATATCAAGTCCATCTTATATTACATGATGTCTATATCACCATGAAGTATTTACTGATGCTAAACATTTACTTCCCTGTGTTCTGAGCTAACATAAAGAGTGAAAAGGGGATTTGTTTGGAGCAGAGTATAATGTATCAAGGGTCACGTGGAGAGCATCTACATGCTTTATTTTCAAGTTCACTTTTACACAGCCATGTGAGAATCCAGCAGTTACTTCACAACACAGCAATAATGATGCTGTATATACAGTTACACTACATTTCTTACATTAGGAGGTTTGCTCCAATAAATTCATAGTTCCCAACTAATTCATTAGACTGTGCCACATAATACACACTAGGAGGCTGGAAATAACAGAAAAAATAGACATTTATTTGCTGCATGCAGTCTAGTTATTTTAAGCCTTCTTTTCAATTTTTGTTCATTACAATTGGCCCTAGCCAACTTGCATTTTTTTTCAAGTTAAAACCAAACCTTTGTATTTTTTTTTAGTGGCTTTGAGTGGTTGCTCCCTGACAGCATCAGAGAGAGAGGCCAGTATGCCACCTAGTGGCTGAGAGCTGATCAAGAGGCCATTAGCATGCTGAATCAATAAATAGTCTACATCCCTGTCTGCTCAGGACAGAGCAGTTGGCAATGTTTAGTCCAGCTCTCTGGCTGGGGAAGACAACCACTGCAGACAAGCTTAGCCCTCTGTGTAGGGCACAGTAATACCAGTCTGTGCCAGACCTTTGCCTGGGGCAGACACATCCAGGCACAGGCCATTTGTCTTGAAGTAGCAGGAGAAAGTAGGGGGATCCAAGCCTACTCTCCCAAAGTCCAAGCCCAGGGTCCTAAAAGTGGCAGGGAATCCTGACATGGGGAAGACAACCACTGCAGACAAGCTTAGCCCTCTGTGTAGGGCACAGTAATACCAGTCTGTGCCAGACCTTTGCCTGGGGCAGACACATCCAGGCACAGGCCATTTGTCTTGAAGTAGCAGGAGAAAGTAGGGGGATCCAAGCCTACTCTCCCAAAGTCCAAGCCCAGGGTCCTAAAAGTGGCAGGGAATCCTGACACTG